GAAGATAGCATGGAGATTTCCAGATCTTGGACAGGGTAAAGACACTTTGAGTCTTGGACATTGAATTGTACCAAAAAGCAAGAATTTGGCCAAAGACTCGTGACGGCAAGTCTGACAAATGAAACGACCATTTTGGTATAGATCCCACTGGTGATATTTCAGTAGATTTCAGCGTCAAAAGGAAAAATGAGTAAAATCAACTATAGCACACAAAGTAAATAAAAATCCATGAGTCCTTAGTGATGGACGTAGAGAAAGGGAGAGAGACAGTCATAGAACAAAAACATTTTCCCATACAGATGGCCATTGTTACAGTAAGTTATTTCTCAGAATATTGATAATTAAAAGGCAGGTAGTAAGCTTTACCCTGTGTTATAAGAATAATTGTAGATTTTCCAAACCTGATGAAGAAATTGTTTTATTTTACAATATAATGCCTGGTAAGAGATGTAAATAAGTAGTTAAACATATTAAACATAAAAAGTAATTATTAAAAANTGCATTTAGGTCTTACTTTTAATTTATAGAAATTTGGAATAGAGAAACAAGTTATCTAACATGGCAAGACAGTAGTCTGATAAGTCTAGAATATGTGACATGATCTCTCTGGATATCATGTGGAAAAGGGATTGGTGAAAATTGTAGGTTATAAGAGCTTAAGAAACATCATAAAAAACAATATGTGAACAATAATTGCATCGTGGTTACAAAAGAAGAGCTACTAACAATATTTGGGGAGAACAGTGAGAAACTTGAACCTGGACTGGATAGTGGATGATATGAGGAAATTATCCATAACTTCCTGAGATATAATAATGGGACTGGAACTGTAGGGGGGATATCTTCATTCTTATGACATGCTTTCTGAGTTCTGCAGAGGTTAACTGCCAGGTCTACAATTTACTATGTAGAAGATCAGCAAAATTTACACATAGGTACACAAATGTTTCCATATAATTGTATATAAACCTATATTTGGCAATGTGGCCAACTTGAAGAATTTTTAACATAGGTGAGAAAATATGGATGGTCTACATCATCTTTTCAAAATTTCTGTTTGAAAATTACCACAATAAGCATGGGGTAAAGCTTATTACACAATTACATTAATTTTTTAATATTTATATTTTAAAATCATGCAGCTAAATTATTACATATCAAATTAGTAACTTTTATAAACCGTATTTTCTGATTAAGGACTCTTACTCCTTGACTCCAAGTTGTTAAAATATAATTTAGAGCACAAAAACAGGCACCGAATAAACATATAAACATATGTGTTCATACAATTGATTTAATGGCAGAAAGCAGGGAGAAGATGCAGACTAAATTGTGGACAGTCAAAGGTCACTCTGTGTTCTGCTAAAGTTCCTCAGTGTTGATTTCATCCACCATAGACAGGTGCCACGATAAATAGGTAACTTCATCCCTCTAGGCTATGAATTTCATAGACTACAGTTAATATTTTCCTCTATATATGTCTCTGCTGGAGAACCCTGAAAACAGAGGTCCCAAGACCAAAGATACAGGCATTCAAACCCCATATAAATTATTTCTTATTTATTGCCTATTCCATGTTTTCATGGCCGTCCTTCCTATACACAATTCCTCCCAAATTACTTTCACCCATGGAGTCATAGTCTTTGGTCATCCCTCATAGCTCAGGAAATTTCCATCTTCCTTCTGAGGTCTGATTAATGATTCCAGCCCTCCCTGGTCTCCTTTACCTCCCCAAATTCTAATACAAGATTCAGCACTAAGGTCTCCACATGTTTTCACTAAGATTTTACCAAGCAGGGGTACAATAAAGGGTCCTCCCTGCCCCTCTAGACAGAGGCTCTGCTCTGTAGAATCTCTTGTTGCACAAAGGTAAGAGGAACAGGTGGGAAGGACAAGGTAAACTTGGCAACAATACAGGAAGAAGGGCATGAAGAACAGGAAGGAGAGGAGGCTGAGGTGCTCACCTGGTTGCAGACGGGCTTGTACCTGAGCCCTGGTTTGTTGAGGATCATCTCCAGCTGCCTGCGGTTAAAGTTGGACACCCCGATGGACTTGGCCAATCCTGCGTCCTTACACATCTCCATGGCCTGGGGAGGAAGGGGTTGTGAGGAATTATTTGTGCACTCGTCTGCATGACAAGGAACCCAACTCTCCCAGGTGTCAGGTGGGAACCAGATCCCCCCTCTCTTGGCTTTTTCCTCTGTACTGTTACCTCCAAGCACTCACCTCCCACGTGGCACAGAGATCCACTGTATTAAATATTAATTTTCCATGTTCGTCTCTTGGAAAAAACTCCTCTCCTGGCTGGGGTAGAAGCAGTTATTTCAGAGATGCCACAATAAATATCTCCACCCTCCGCCCTTCTCCCAGGTGCATCTAGGACTGAGGCACTAACCTCAATGAGGTAGGTGGTGGAACCCTCTAAATAGTGATATTTGCACAGAGGTTGCATATGGAATTGTGAGGAATATCTTAAGGGGACTGGCTTCGTCTAATCTCTCGTTTTTGATGTGTTTAATAAATATCATTTTCTAAGGTCCTATGGGGACTTACTGTGACTCAGTTTATACTTGCCTGCATTCTAAATTTTCCTATTTGGAAATGCCTGTCTCTATCTGGGAAAGACAGCATGTTACATGGCTTTATTTCCAGAATAACTTTTGCAGTCTTGACCCACATGGGATGATCAGAGCTCTTTATCTCCCTGAACACATAATAGTCCAAAGGCAAGCAAATGAGCCAAATGTGGTAACTCAAGGTTTGTTTCAATTTTAATTTGGATGATGGGAGACTCAGAGAAGCTCTCAAGTGCTAATGACCAGGAGCCTTAAACTTCCATGAAGCCACATTTGCCACCAATGGAAAGGCTAGGACAAAAAATCAAGGAAACCTGGTGGAATGCAGAGATGAGGGATAGAGGAAAAGAAATATCTCTGAAAACAATTTTAAATCTTTAAATGCAGCCATGAATTAGTCTTCACTCCTATATAATTCAATAAGCTTTTTTGCATAAACTAGTTTGAGTATATATAATAGTTACTAATGAAAAATGCCACATGATAAAACTCCATCATGCAGATAACCAATAGGAGAAGCAATATTTTCCAGGTCCTATGAAGGCCCCTAGATTTGCCTACCCACAGTAAGCAACACCAAATCTACTTCCAGCTTGAACCATGAGAGATGATGGACACCCTTTGTGCTCCTTGTGGGAGGCAGTTTCATGGCTCAGCACAGCCACAGGAAACTCTTTCTGTGAATGTCCCCAAGA